ACTCTGCAGGTAAACCAGGGACCTTAATTTCAAAGCCAAGACCACCATGCTTCGTCTGCAACGATGAAACACACGGTGTCGCCAAGTGCCCAACCTTTGCCACAAGGCTTCCTGATGAAAAGAGAGCTTTCATTCGTGAAAACCGTCTTTGCTTCGGCTGTTTAAGAAAGGGCCACACTAGTAAAGAATGCAAAAGAAGGCACACATGCACTATATGTGGTCGAAATCATCCAACTTGCTTGCACATAGAGAGAATTGAGGGAGCCAGTGAAATGTTAAACAGTGATTCACCATCTGCAGGAAATGAGACAAAGGAAGTCCGTAATGTCATGTCACACACATTGACAAGATACTCCTCAGCTACGTCTAGCATTGTTCCAGTTTTTGTGTCATTGACAGAAGACCCCCACAGTGAGATTCTCACATATGCTCTGCTCGACACACAGAGCGATTCAACTTTCATCTTGGGAGATCTGGTCTCTGCACTAAATGTGAAGACTCAGCCAGTGCAATTAAGGCTCAGTACAATGACAGCAGTAGACACAGTCATAGCTAGCAAAGTGGCTTGTGGATTGCAAGTTCGTGGGCTCCATAGTGAGTCGCATGTTCAGCTACGCCAGGCATACACAAGGATTTCATCCCAGTCGATAAGTCTCACATTCCTACAAAGGACACCGCACTTCAGTGGCCACATCTGAGGCAACTGGCAAACAAGCTGCAGCCACTTCAAGACTGTGAAGTGGGATTGCTGATGGCTATGATTGCCATCAGCACTGGCCCCTCTAGAAGTCATTGTAGGGTCAGAAACCATCCATTTGCTCAAGAACCGTGCTTGGCTGGAGCATCATAGGATCAGCAAATCCATATCTTGATAGAAAGGAACATCAAGCTTTGTACACAGAGTGGCAGTAAAGGAAATGCCATTGCTCCGGTCAATGATGTGTTAAGGTCTAGAAATGGATTTCAGCGAAAGAAACTATCAAGATAAATATGTTTCTCAAGATGATGTTCATTTTGTAAAACTCCTCGGCAGCACAATCACAAAAAGGAGGATGGACACTATGAGATGCCACTTCCTTTCAGGGAGCTCTCCACCATGCTGCCAACAACAAGCGACTGCTGAAGCTCGTTTGCAACACCTCAAGAGGAAGTTAGGTCCAATAGGCAGTACCATGACCTAGAGCTGGGCGATATGAGATTTTTTCATATCACGATATGTTTTTTTTTTCATTTCAGGCGATTACGATATCTATCACGATATAAGCCAAATAACTATATTTGTAAGATTTAAATGTGCCGTTGCTCACAAGTAAAATGTGAATAATCAGCAGCTTGTTTTTATTTAAATATTATTTCCATAATAAGTTCAACAGGGTAGATGTACTTAAGGAACATGAGACTTTTTCAGATAATAAAGGCAATATTGCAAACTACACAAAGGCAGCGCTAAAGCGTTTAAGTTTCAAAATAGAACAAACGAAACAGACTAATTGTCAATTCCACTTTTCTAAAATAAATCTTAGTTTGTTTTACAGAAGAACAGACAAACTGACTAACTTTGTCAATATCAAATAAACTGAAAACTAAAGGAATTCTCAATCTCTCCTTGTTGTATAGCTGAGCTTTTCAAACAGTTTAACAGTTACTTAGTCTGACAAAAGCCGAATGACGAATTAGCGTTCCAGTCAGACTGAGGCTACGTCCACAGTACACGGGTATTTTTGAAAACGGAGATTTTCCGTTTTCGTTTAAAAAATATCCCGTCCACACATAAAGGCAGAAATGAAGGAAAACGCTGCTATGAAATGCCAAAGCAGCAGGTGGCGCTAGATTCTAACCGTGCGGAAATGTGGCCAATCAGAAGTCTAGAAGCCTCGGTGGAAAAGTAAACAAAGTGGGGCATAGAGCAGAACGAGTCGTATGTGTGGAGGACAGTAACTGTGTGTATATGTAAGCATTTAAACACTGCAGAGAGTACATTAACAGTATTGATTGACGACAAACACCGACAATAACGCCGAGGAGAGGGCGGTGCTGATCACGAGCGAAGCAGCGAGTGAATAAAATCAACAGCCGACCAGCCTTATGCTGTTCTGTGGTTTCTAAAGCTGCTTTATCACTGAGTAAATTAAGGAAATTATTTCTAAATGTCGCCTGGAGGACAAACAGATGTTAAATAATACGTCACGTTCATTGAGGTTTGATGCTAACAACAGCAGGACTGTTAGAGCTTATGTTTTTACAGGAATGTTATTTATGACGTTACATAAGAGGCAGTTCCAGCAGAAACAGAGCCAGTCACAGGCTGTCACTGCAGAGAAAGTTAACTCATTTTTACTTTACTTAGAAGCTTAGGTCTACTTTTCTGTGCATGTATTTATCCAACAGACAGATTTGGTCTTGATTACGGTTACAGTTTAAAAGCGGCAGAGGTGAATTAACTGTGTAGCTTTGAAGGCTCAAAGCAAATTGTAGAAAAAAAACACCAATGAAACATGTGGATAATAGACGGACCAACTACAATGACAGAAGACGCGACTTAAATACACACAGAGAAACAGGGAGATTACACACAGGTAGGGAACACAGCTGGGAGTAATCAACAAGACCGAGACAGAGGTAAAACTGAACACACACACGAGACGCAGACCTTCACAATAAAACAGGAAAACAGACACTACACAAAGACGCAGACTCGACACTGAAGACAGACAGAAAATGACACATGGAACTAAACCCCACAAAACATGAGAACACAAATAAATAGAAACATGGAACTCTAATAATAATCATCATAGCACCCAAAACCACAACAATCATTCAAAAATAAACTAACAATCAAAACTCAAAATACTGGTTCGAAACTGACCCGAACGTGACAGTACCCCCCCTCCAAGGCTGGCTCCCGACAGCTCTAAACAAAAACCCAAACAAACCGAGCACCAGACCAGGGTGGCGGAGGGGATCCAGGAAGGAGCGTCCCGAAACAAAAAACAAGAGCACAAGAGTCCAGAGTAAACCAAAACACAAGAAACAGTCCAAGAACAGGACAACAGATCAAAAACAAAACCAGAGCTCAACAAGAGTCCGAGAAAAGTTCAGGGGTCGACACGGGGGTCGACAACACAAGACCAAGACAGTTCGGAGGCCGACCGTGCACACGGCAACGCGGCAGAGCAGGCAAACAATCAGGAGATTTGTAAAATAGCAATTGTGTATTTTGTTCACCTTGTATATATTGTTCACTGCAGCAGCCTAGTAGGCGTGACAAACCATTTTGTTGATTAAGTTTTCTCCTGTTTTTCGTTTAGAAAGTTAGGTAAGTGAATTGTCTTTTGGTTGGTTTTCATTTTGTGTAGGAAAGTGTAGGGACCATTAGGGAGTTTGTTTGTTATTTTTGGCATGCTCACTGCTGAAGCAAATAATGGCTTCTTAGCGCTTTAAAAGATACTACTGTTTGTGTTCTTTCTTGGGTGGTGCGTGAGTGGGGCCAATTTGTTGTTGCGTTCAATACACGCCTAGACTAAGAACGTAACACATTGAAGAAACCTGTAGCATGGCACATGGTGGACCCACTTTTCAGTCGGGTTGAGTTCTGGACTTTGACTGGATCGCTGCAGCACTTTGATTCTCTTTAAGCTCTTCTTATGGAGATTTGCTGCTGTGCTTCGGATCATTGTCCTGTTTCCTGACCCATTTTGGTCAAACTCTAGCTGTCATGCACATGGCCTCAGATTTGACTGTAGAATACTTTGGTGTGCAGAGATGTTCATGGTCATCTCAGTGACTGCAAGGTGCCGAATCGCCACCCCTCCACTGATTCTGTCCTGTAGCTTCATAAAGTAAACAAAGGAATCGCTGCAGTTTGTCAACAGATCAAAGTGAACTTCTCTTTTTATTGAGTGATATTATTGCTAATATTAGCCTACACGCTGATCTGCTTTCTAGTGGCTGGAGCTCCAACAGAGTAAATGAATGTGAATGCATGCAAATTCCATTCATTGCTGGTTTCATTATAAAGAGTGAACATCTAGGCTTACAGTGTTGTCCGACAGTCCCTCCTTGGGTGTTTGCCATGCATTCTCTGGACACATAGAAGAAGCAGCAGAAGTCATCTGGTAGTTTATAAGCACTGATGGGTCTTAGATTTGGTAAATCACATAGATTAGATATTATATAGGAAATATATCAAGTTCGCAAAGATTGTGAAATGGGGGTGTAAATGTTGGATTTTGGGGTTCCTGCATATGTAAGTGTAGAAGGAAATGAGGATTTGTACATATTACCAAACATTAGGTGAAATTACAGTCATTTAATTTACAGATACCATTAGGCAAAGCTGAACTTAAACCTACAGATCATGGCAGGAGTACTGAGACATCAGTGATACAGGAAAGCATCTATACAACATTGAAAAACATGTTGGTTGTGGGAGGAGTGGGTAGGAGTGGAGTAGAAGAAATCATTTGTCTCGGGGTAGGACACACAGGTGCTGCAGCTGATAGTAAGCACCCAACTAGACAGTGTGTGTACTGCACCTGAGTTTGTTCATGTAGTGACGGCGAGTGCCTCACTCATGTCATTGCCTGGCCCTATTTGGTTCATAACAGACAGAAAGTACATTACCTTAAAAGGTACAAGCTGCAACAGGTTTTGGCATTTATCCAGTAAAACTGTCACTAACAGAGAAAGAGTCAGAAATTGCAACAAATATAACATGACAGTTTCTAAAATGACTTAAATTGCAACAAATATACATGACAGTTTCTAAAATGACTTGACTGATTATAAGTAGAATACAAGGTCCGTACAATAATGCTGAGTCATAAATATACTCGGAAACCGGTGATTTCTGCCAACATAAGGAAAGATATTGGAATTTAAGGATAAAAACCAGAAACTTCGTGAAACACCGCGTGAGTTGAGTACGAGCCAATGAGGGTACGAGCAAAACAGGGCTCGTACTCAACCGACCAATCAGCACGCCCCTATGGTTTTCTGTCCGAAGGGGGTGAAGCAACCTGAGTCCAGGGTGTCATCATTCGGATTGGAAGTGGTCTGTGTGGCGGGTTTCTTCCTGTATTTATTGAAGGACTTTCTTCTCGGATATGCACTTCTGAGTAAGTTCTATGAACCAGTTGCTGAGTCTGCTAGCTTTAGCTTCCTACATTTGGGTAGTATTTGTGTAACCGGTAACAGCAAGTGACCGTACAGTAGTACAGTGACACGTTAGCTCGTCTGACCTGACCGTCTGAAGCCAGCCAAGATGCCAACTTATATTCAACGGTGTCGATTTCCGTAATTGTACAAAGAAAACGTGCGCTCATTATGTGCTGTGTAAATGCTAAGTACACGCCGCATATCTGTGGTGGCAGTGGTGGCTCGCTGTGTGACGCAGTGTTTGTGTTGAAGAGCACCGGAGAGTTTGCTGCACAGAGCTCGTATCGTATACAGACTGTACTGGGAGTAATCACTGCTAAATCACTTGATGTGACTCATCGGTGTCATTATATTAGGAACTGTTGCACAGATGCTGAGCGTTTTCTTGATGGTCCTTTTGTGATGTGTTGCTCGCTGATTTTGGCATTATGGATATTCACTCGGCATCACAGCAGACTGTACTTGCCAGATCTATCAAATTTAATGAGTTTGGGATGAGCTGGCATAAAGCACAGAGTAATGTAAGGTCCATCATTTAAACTTCCTGCTTCCCTCCCTATAGTGTTAACGGATATAACATCTGAGTCTCAATTAAAACCAGGCAGGTAGCCAAGAAGAAAGAGTTTAACATTGTACTACTGCCAAAAAAATAGGAAACGGACAAATCAGCTGTTTTAGTCATTTGGAAGACACTCTGATTTTTCATTGTTTTGTCTCCTGAAAACCGCAGATATTTGTATTATTTTACATGAAACCGTTTTTTCTCTTATTTCCTGCAGTCTGACACTTGTGCCCATGCTCCATTTCCACACCTCAGCTGCCAATAACCACTCAAGAGGAAGAAGATGATTTTCACAGCCCGTTCAATCCTGTCACCACAAAGATCGTGCAAAAACCTCTCGAAGTAAGTTATTTATTGTGATAGACTTAGTATTAGAGTTGTCATATGTCTGAAAGTTTTCAAAACTGTTAGTTTGAAAGTTCTTTTGAGGCAGAATAACCAGCTTTTCTAGCAAATAACTTTACCCAGGAAACACTTTGTGATTTAAAGGATGTATCCCTCTGTCTTTATTGTTTCTTCAGGATGTGTCTTCAAATCTGCATATGGCTTTCTTTGGCGCTTACTTCAATAGTTGACGCTGTGGGTAAGTAGGTTTTGCTAAAAAGTTTGTAAACTACTGTTAAATCCTCGGTTACATTAGATTGCTATAACTGAGAACAAGACTAGTTATAACTGACTGTATTAATAGGTTATAAAGTCATTTCTTCCTTCACCCTCGTATTCCTCACACCTCTCTTCTTCTCTTGCTCATTCCCTGCTATGGCTGTGGGATATTATATGTATCGATTTAGAAAATCAACTTTTACTGCACTGCAAACAACTGCACTCAGAAAACAACTTAAATATATGAAAGAAATATGATAGTATTCCCTTAAAAGTAAATACTGGCTAGACAGTGAGCTCCCTTGGTGGAGGTTTGCGCTCTTGGAGTGCTTCTTGTTTAGTACATGCATTTCTGATGTATATTTTTATTCTTAAACCTCTGTCTTGTTTCTTTTGTCCTTCAGACTGCAAAACATCATATGTTCACTTGGCCAGCAGGTCATTCTGCCATGTAATGCTCCTGGAAATATGGTAGTCCTCGCCATGCAGTGGTCCAGACGTGACCTGACAGAATACGTGCTGCACTATCGTGATGACCAACTTGATCCAGACGACCAGGATCCGTCTTATACGGGCCGGGTAAACCTGACCAATACCCACATGCAGAATGGGGATTTCTCAATGATACTGATGAACATGACGACTGCTGACATTGGAACATACGAGTGTATAGCCTTCCAGAGAAGACCAGGGATGGACTCTGAAATCCTCAGCATCGTAAACCTGAATGTCAGTCAGTCAGGTGAGTTTGTGCTCATGTCAAATGATGACACTTTAAAAGAGTTTTCACCTCCCTGACTCCTGACAATTCACACCAATGCATTTTTTTTTCTCGACAGATGAAGGAAGCAGGAATGGAGTCAGCAGTGGCGCAGCTACAGGAAGAAACCATCTTGGTCTCATTGTGTCACTGTCAGTTATTGCAGGGATCATTCTGGTGGCTGGTATTCTCTAATCTATATTAGGTGCCAAACTAACATTGGATCCTCAGCTTCCCCCACTATGAAATGACATCAACATCTCAGCATGTCTAAATTAGAAAGACCCTCAAATTTATTCCAAACATCTAAAACTTAAAATGACAGTTAAAAGCTGAGGTGTGGCTTGTAGTGAAAAGCACAGAGAAGTTAATTAGAGTAGAATAATAGAAGCTCGGATCCATTTATCGTTTAACCTACATTAAGCAAATTCAGATTGTGGTTCGGCTCGGAACCACTTTGATTTGTGCCTTTGTCATATGTTTTCTAATGCTGGCCGTATATATGTCACGTGATAGATTGGCTGGGATTTTTTAGAGATTTCTTTGCACTGTTTACCACTAAGAGCGCTCTGGAGCCCATCGAGAATGAAATTTTAACTTTGGTTAAAAAAAAAATTACCGAAAGAATTTATATTTCATAACGAAGTCAACAGAGCAAACATTATGGCGCACAACAAGTTCATGCACCAAATTTGGAACGAGTCCAAATTAAGTTTCTTTCAAAGCTTTACTTCACAACATGAACCTTAACAAGTCATACACTAAATGTGTAACCTTATGCAAAGTATTTATTATAATGCACTGAAACTTTTTCTTATTTATTTATTTGGTTTTTAGTATAAAGGTGCTTTTAAACTCCTAAATGAAAAAGGTCCTACGTTTTCCCGACAGAATTTTGTGTGTTTTACATCCAAGCACAAATTTCCTGAAAAGAGAAACATGTTTTTATTGAAGTTACTTTCTGCCAGTAAAATGTTTTCATGTTCGCAGATCCGTTTTGTCTTTAGGTTGTTCTAGCTGCCAAAACAACAGTGTTGTGGTGCTAAGAGGGAAAAGTCCGTAAATTGTTTAGTAAGATTTAAATTATGAGGGATTTTTACTGACACCGTCTTGATGTTTTCGAACTGGACATGACAATGAGGGATGGATCTCTCTGAAAAACTGAGTTTACTTACAGGGTACCCACACGCTTAAGGTATTACCCTGCTTCATCTCCCTTATGACTCTCATGGGGATCATGGTTTAGAAAGTGAGCATCATGTTTATCTCATAAGACTAGAAAAGGTGGCTGACAGCATGAACTCATCTGGGAGATGTTTACAGAGTTCACAAAGTAAATCGCCAGTCGACCCCAAGCTGTTCAAGTATTTAAGCATTATTGTATTTTCACTAAAGCACTGCATTATACTGAATAATAGAAGTCTTTAACTTTGAGTAGCATTCCAGATGTGGTTATGTATTATGTGATACTGTATGGTAGACAATGTGCCCATTAAGCATTAGGGCACTTTATTAGATACTTTATCAAATGTTGAAAGTTGAATGTGAAGGATCATAGTCAGAGGGCTGTGGGACATTGGCTACCAGCTGCTTATCACTAAAGGAAAGAAAGGTGATTCATGCCTTACGTTTTTATCTTCTGTCGTTTTCTGCTTCATGGCCTGATTACAGTGAATTTGTGGGACCATACTGTATGTTTTTTGACTCCCCAAGAAATGCATTAGGCACATACAGAGTATACATTTTTGTAGCAATAATAACTGCTCTTTAACTGTTGAAATGGATGTTTTCAGGTACATGATCACATTTTTACCTGGTTAATGAAATTTCCTTGGTATCTCTAACAAAAGGGTAATGATAAGTGGCCCTATCATTATATTTATAGCGACAGTTTCATGTCTTTCAATGTGCTTTCCTATGTTACACTATTTAACATTGTGTTTGTTTTTATTTCCTTGGTCCAAAAAAGTTTGGGTTTAGTATTTTACAAAGGGCAAAGCATCCATACTTTTTACTGTGATGATGACATGATGACACTAAAGCCTTGAAACAAACTTTGAATATTTGTTCTTACTTTGTGAGTCTGTATATTGCTATGAACTGTGCTTTTTTTAAAAACATTTTTACAATGGAACATTCCAAGTGCCATCGTTTCTTTTGTATGTTCTGCACATGCTCTGTACAATCATGACCCTGAGACCAATAAAGATCTATTTATTCTTTCACTTGAGTGTGCCGCTCTTGTTGAGTCTTTATGGTTCACATAAAGATAATGTAGAGCAGAATTTGCGTTTTATTTTTTTTTATTAGTTTACATTTTTGTTTCCTCTTTAAATGTTTAGCTTTTGTTATTTTCAATGTCTGTTTTAGTTTTTAATTGAGAATATGAGGACTGTCAAATGGAAGATAGGTGTGACGATACACATATATACTAGCCTAATGATAAAATGGATCAGTTTGGCAAATATATTTTACAGTGTTTATTTATTCGACAAAATACGTTAAATGTCACCGTTATTATTGGCTGGCCGGAAACAGCGGGGGTGTCCAAATTCAGAGGCTGCTTCCACCTGAGGACCCGCCTTCGCGGTCTAAAGAAAGCCGCGTAGTACGTCACGAGCTCCCTCGGTGGAGTGAAACTGCGTCTGCTCCTTGCTGTCTAAAATGTAACCGGGCGCTGGCGTCAATTCTCCACCGTCTCACACTTTGTTTAATCAGTTTTCTGTTTGACGTTTATTCAGCTTTGTGAAACCCCAGAGGACCCCTCCCGAGGGATTAATAAAGTTACATTTAAAGGAGCCAGCATCAGCTGAGAGATATAGAGGAGAACAGGGGGACAACAGACAGCTCTCTGTAGTTGACAGACTGGTAAAAACATTGAAAACAGTTTTTAGATATTTGCTTCCTGTATTTGCAGAAGTATCTCCAACACAAACTGTAACAGCTGCATGCAGGGAACCACTCAGTCATGTTTATCCTGCAGGACAGGATCTGACAGGGAAAGAAGGAAAAATAAGGGAACCACGGACAACTTTGATAATGCTTTGATTTATCCACAGTACATTTAGTTCAAATATTGTTTCCATCACAGAGGGATTGTGCTGGTTTCAGTGGGGAAAGTATGCAGCTCATTTAAATGTTCAAAGAGCTGTGAAAGTTGTCCGTTCATAAAGTGTGTCAGTATTTTATAAGGATGCCATGTTTCTGTATCATCTCTCTCCTGTCAGAGCCTCTTCCAAACATCAGCCTGTTTAATGCTCTCATATCTTCAACATCTCGAGTAAATTATACTGCACAGTTTTCTCTCCAATAAAAGAATATTTACTGCATGAGTCTGTTTTCCATTTTATCTGAAACATTCAAGGAGGAGATCTTTTACTGTATTTTGGTGATATTGCCCTTAAATGTGACTAAGCTTTCATACAGTGGTGATCACGGACATAACTCTGAGATCAGTCTGACTGAACTCTGAAAATCACTGAGTGTTATTTCACAGAACCATAATTAGATTAACTCAAACGGAAACACGCGGTGTTAAACAGTAGTATAATTATCATTAACTGTCAAAGTAAGTGCGTATTTTGCTTGTTTCCGTTTCCATCAAAAATCGAATTAATTAATAATTGTTTGATTTGTGTTGATGAAGGCCTGCCTCCTTCTCCTCACAGTCACTTTTTACGAGACCATGAGTGTGTTTCATTTTTTGTTCTGTCAGTCTTGGATGTGACTCCTGAAAAGAGATTCACCATGATTCTGGTTCTCCTTTCACAGTCAGTACTGCTGGTTTCTCTCTCAGACTGACTGAAGATGAGTGATCTGGAGTCTCCAGGATCCAGCCGTCTGTCTGTGACCGACACAAAGTAAGATACTGTCTCTAATGTACACGAAGGAAATAGAGAACATAGGTGAAATCAGTATGTAGAAACAATTACAAGTTTAAAAGGACAAGTAAGATTGAGTGGGAGAGGACTGGTTTAACAGGAAGAAGAGAAAATTCCACAGTATCCGTGCAAAAAGTTTCACTTTGAAATCTTTAAAAGAATGTGGACAAACAGGTGGACTTGGTGTCAGTGGAGTTTACTCCTGGAAGTTTGAGATTATGATGATTATTACTTCAAAAACACCTGTACAGACGTTTATCACTCATTCCATACCAGCGCAGTGCCCAGTAACACTTTGAGGTGACTGGAGCTTTATATATAAAATGAATGCAGTCCGATCAGTTTATGAGAATAGTCAAAGTGACTTTGGTAATATTAGTTGCCAATTTTTAGTTGGTATTGGTTTGTAAGATTAGTTTAAAATAAAGACTTCATTTTAACTGAATTTTGTTACGTCTCAAGAATTTGGACGTTTAGCCTTAAGGACAAACCTAAGGAGGAGGTTGGACTTTAGAGTTGAGCCCAGAGATGTACGGCTGAGTGAGGGGCTACTTTTTGTCATCAAACTAAAAGAAATAAAATGTAGGCTTAGAAGACACGGTTGGTTGTTTGGTTCAGCATCTCTGAATATCTTCAGAGCTGTAGAGGCTTCAGAATGTAGAAGTTTGGATGGAAACTCCAAATACTTGAAGCCCACAAGATGCATCTTTAAAAAGTCAAAAAGAAGCGAAGAATTGCTGTCGCTAAAACCAAAATAACATTTATAACAACAACAAAAGTGTATGATTTGGTAATATGATTGGAATGGAACAAATGGATTCTGAAAATCAGAGATTGAGTTTCCAAGTGAATAATGCAGCTGAAAAATTTTCCTGTTATATGAAGACTTTTAACCTGTAGTTCAGTATTGATCTGCCACAGTCAGCGAACAAAACTGCCAAAAAGGAAAAAGACATTAAGATCCTCAAAAGCTTGGCATAATATAGTCATACATTTTCACCTGAATACATCTGCCCTGTGCAAATCCGTTTCGAAGGCCTTTGCAGCTAATAATGGTCAATATATTAATTTAAAGAACACAGAAAAACAGCTGGTTCTTTTTCAGGGTTTCATAGCTTTTTTGTGTAGAATGCCAAGCTTTAATATTATAGAGATTTGCAAGTATCTACAAAGCATGATATGATGTGAAGTTCAACATCTGGGACATGTGTCCCGCTATGCATTGCAGAAAATGACTCAATCTCTTAGTACAGCAAACAAACAATGCAGGAGGGCGGGAAAATAATGGTCTCCTCTGCCGTGGCATCAGAAGTTGAGAATTGACGGGACAAAGTGTTGGCTTTCTCGTTTTG